TGTTTGAAGTGATTTTTTTCTCAGCAAAGTGCTTTCAACCGTTAGAGCTACAGTCGGGAACTAGATATTATTGTTGATGGTCTCGAAGCGTGGTCGTTCGTATTCTTTGTCAGTCGTTTTCATTCGATTTTAAAAGTCAAGAGTTTCTACTGTCTTGAATAATATTTTTTTTTATCGCTAAGTGGAAATAAAGTAAATGTTATATATTTATTTATTTATTCTTTAATACACTATAAGATTTTGTACAAGTGGCGATCTTAATGTCATATGACATTCTCTATTAGTTAACCATGAGGTAAAAACAGAAAGCGTATGAAGTGCAAAGGTGTTGAAAAAGATGTGACATACTTATTATAACATACTAAAATAATTATACACACACATAATATATAATGAAATGAAATGAAATTTATTTGTTATAAAAGTAGTACATAATAGATGGTATGGTTATTTATGTTATATAGATCTCACTTTTAGTCTTTACAGACATGCAAATACATATTTGAATTAATCTATTATTATTCTTTATATAATTCAATTAAAGTTACATATTATACATTTATTATTATTATAAAAGTATGAAATTATTGTTATAAAACTGTCAATATATTCATGACGAATGTCAAAATTATATCAAGTATGTATTGTCAAAATATTATGTTTTCTAATAATTATAGTTCAACATCGTTTATATAATCACTTATTGAATATTAGCATTTGTCAATTAATAAATTAAATAATTGTATTTTAAATTGTGTCGATGGCAATTCCTTTAAAGAGGTCGGAAGTTTGTTGTATATCCGGATAGCCATTGGATAACAACTTCTTTTATATAGGTCCGTTAACATTATAGGCAATATTAGCTTATTTGGATATCTTCCACGATATATAAGAAATATACATGTAATACACAAACATTACTTTACATGATATACATCTACAGTTATAAATATTTTAATATTTATAAAGCTTCAATCTAATATATAAAATCCCCGTGTCGCAGTGTTTGTTACCAAACTCCCCGAAACGGTTTTACCGATTTTTATGAAATTTTGTGTGCATATTGAGTACGTTTGAGAATCAATGATAGGGGTGACCCACCCATAAATACTGTTTTTTATTTTTTTGACATTTTTTTTTATTTTAATATGATTTAGTATTGTAAAATACATACAAATTAAAATTTTCACGCTTTTAAGATCAACCCCTGTTGTTTAATCGCAATTTTTATATGCCGCAATAGGTTTGCAAGATGACAATCGAATATAATAATTGTAGTACAATATATTTTCATGTATAGTTCTAGAAATAATGTATATGGTAAAACAACGTTTACCGAGTCAGCTAGTTTGATTATATAAAAGACTTACCCTGATTGAGTGACCGATTGATATATTAAAGCCTTTGTTACCCAAAACTTCTAGTAGGGACTATTCAAGAACAGTGATTGATTGTAGATTTTTTTTATCAATATAAAGTTTGTGATAGTTATTTAATCCATTTATATTTTTATTGCAAACTCAACATTTATTTGAGAAAAACAACAGATGAGTTTTTTTTTCGTACTTCTCAGATGGAATTGCATTTCGAAGTCAGCAATAGATCCATAAAAATATGACTAATTAAAAAACGCATATAATTAAGTTATTATGAATAAAAAATATTTTTGTTTATTTAAGATTATCTTAAAAAAAATTGCTTTCAGAAATAAAAGTCCCATGTTACATTCATACTAATGTTATAAATATGATAATTTGTGAGTATGGCCATGCCATACACATAGAAGTGGATATGACGAAAATATAAAATTCGAAAACCAATTGACATCTTTTATTCGGCAGTCGAGTAAAATAGTCAAGAAAACACAATCGAATAGATAATCTTTCTTTTTTTAAATAGGTTAAAAATATTGAACCCCCTTTCAAAGCGCCTGTCAACCGAAAGATATTTTATCTTCAGGTGAAAGAAATATCTTTAAGTAAAGCATCGTGTTAGCACAATAAAATAAAAATTCACATTTCATTGCAGGATACAATTTTTAGAATTTTATTTAACCATAATATACAGTAAATAACAAATATTATAAAATTTAAGTCAGCGATTATCACTCGTCGTACTTAAGTAGATGAGAAAACGAGGCAAACGAATTAAAACATATCTGAAGATAAACTGTCTCACGTTTGCGCAGACCATTGCAGTGTCACAACGAACGGACAATGGAATAGGTAAAAATATAATTTCGAAATATTATAATAATATGTTGATTATTATTTCTCTCGAAAATTTACATGAGAACAATGGAAAAGTGAAAAGGGCGGACCGCGAAAATTATTTCCGGGCGTGGAAATAAGCGGAACGTTTTTATAATTTCACTGTTGATTTTTTTTTTCTCGTTTTTTCTCGACCGTCGCGAATTTATCTTGAATTGCGGGTCTATTGTACGTGAGTCTTATTTTTAGAATTTAAAAAAGTTCGCAATCTGAACTGACTCAGATTCTTTGAGTTAGAGACGATAAATTAATATAAAATAATCTTATTTCTTAGCTTTTCTTGACTATTTTTGCTTACTAAACTTAACAAAAAATACCTGCTTAAGCGAGGAAAGCCTGTTATATGTATAATATAAAAAATATTTTTATCCAATATTAATATTTGATTTTCAGCTACCTGGTTCATATAGTATATGTTCTGCTCAGTTTGATACTAGATGACGCCGTAATATGTCTAGGGATATTTATTTCTTGAATAAATATTTTTTAATAATGAAAATAGTACCTTGTCATAAATTGATATTGTTTTATTAGCTGTGTTATCCTACTTTATTCATCATAAATGTGATACTTTGTAAAGTTATTTGGATTTTTGACTCAATCACGTTTAAACTAGAAACTGCTGAAGGAATTTCAATGAAATTTTGTAAACAAACAGACTGTGTCCTAATTTAACTAACAGGGTACTTAATATATTAATACAAGAAAAACCACAAGGTATAGTTAGTAAATAGTGAATTAAAATTAATTACAACAAAGCCTACGTTCACAGTGCATTATATGTAAATTTATAACGTATTCTGTATGTAAATTAGGCGGCTGCCAGCTTTATTAGTTCTAAGTGCTATGATTTCAGTTCATAATTCATAATAGTACTCGTAATGTTGAACGCAAACTATTGTGAGAATTCATATTTATAGATAATTAGCTTTCACACGTGACTTCGTCTGCGTGTTTGTGATATTTCGATTTAACGGGATAAAGTAGTCTATGTCCTTTTTCATCTCATATATACGTAGTATGTGTAAACCAATCATCATCATTGCTATTGCCATGCTCCTGCCATTATCTATCCATTGCTTAACACAGGCCTCCCCATAGACTGTCATAAGGAACGGCCTTGAGCTACTTGCATCCACTGATTCCCTGCAATGCATTTGAGATCGTAATTTCATTCAAAGGAAGGGTGGTGGGTCTTCTTGCACTGCGTTTACCCGTAATGGATCGACAGTCAAGAACCTTTCAATTCTCATTTGTAAACCAAATTTCAAACTATTAAAGCATCAAGAGGTAACAAACAAATTCACTTTCATGTAATATTAGTACGATATTAATTAATCGAGCGTCTATGTCTATTTTTTATGCAACTTAAAACAGCAAACAAATTGACGGTCCACCTGATGGAAAGTGGAAATCGTCGCTTATAGATATGAACAGTACCATAGACATAACAGAGTATACTGTTTCGCTCATGATACTCTCATGAGTTACTATTCCTGAGGACTAAGGTGTTATACCTCTGTGTCCTGTGAATTCACTGCAATGTCCCATCCTTCAAACCGAAACACAGTCATACAAACAACTGCTTCACGGTAGAAACACGAACGGGACAGAGTTACCCAAACAAGTGACTTTATTTAAATATAATTAAGGCTCCTAAACTGTACTCTTGTTTATAAATTAGTAAAACATCTACTACCTTTTCGAAAGTCCGAATTGTAAAATATTTGTTACAGTCAAGGCTCCCGGATGCTTGACCGATATTTCAACAGTTATTGATTTACTTGGATTTCATAAACCTTGATTTGTGTGATAGAAGAATAACAATAAATAGGTAAAGTGGATGCGTATAATGCATCTACTTGTATGTTTTCATGTTGATAAAATTTGAGTAACTCTCCTGGTATCATCATGTTACCTATTTCAAAGGTGAAGTTAAATTGTTTTAATTAACTTTAAATACAACTTTGAGTACTATGATGTTGTACTCAGTATGTTCATTCGCTGTCAGGTAATTTATTAAAGATAGAAATACGATGGGGACAAAGGTACCCATCAACATCATTATATCAGTCATTATCTGTCCATTGCTGAATATAGGCCTTCCCCATAAACTGCTAAAAAAAAACAGTCTCGAGCCACTTGCATTTACTGATTTCCTGTAATGCATTTGAAATCGTCACTAAATCTAGTGGGGAGTTGTTCTACACTGTGTTTGCCCGTATGGGGTCGTCACTCAAGAACTTTTCTTTCCTACCAGTTGTCGGTGCTTCGAACTATGTAACCAAATCATTGCCATTTCAGCTTGCTTATCCTTCGAGTTGTATCGTTCACTTTGGTTCATTTGCGGATATCCTCATTTCGGATTCTGTCAAAGGTTGGGCACATACAGGGTACGCACAGACGACTTTTGTACATTTTTCCTAAGAAAATAAGAATGAATACTATGGTAGCAAACAGTGTAACCTGTTATTAGAAGTTTACTATATATATATTTTTGGATATATACACAATAAAGTGATAAACATTGACTTACGTTAGGCATTTAGTCGTACCTATATATTTATCATCACTCCGTATTCTTTGCGGAATGCGAATCAACATATAGTGCATGTTGTCAGAATATCAGGAAGAAGTAATGCAATTATGTATAATGTTCAGTTACAACAACCTTTGGTTCAATTATAACATTCGACTCATAGTACAAGTGAACGCTTGGTTGGTCAGACGTGATGTCGAAATATCAATTAATATTTGTTTTATTATTACCAATTGTATATAGCCAAAGGGTGATACGAGTTTACTCAGATTTCACAAATCAACAAGATTTGGAGTTTTTCAGAACAACGTTCCCATGGATAGTGACAAATCTTGGCTCTGATTTGTTAGTGCGATACTATTTCCGAAATAATGGATTGAATGTCGGCCCAAGGTTCTGTGTACTGAACATGATGAGGAGGAATCCTTATCTTCAAGCAGACTATTTGAGGTGCGAAGCTCAAGGGAATTCTATAACTGAATGTAGAAGGCGTATGCCGATGAACAATGCAGTTTATAATAGATGTCTTAGAGAGAGAGTGAGTCGTTTCATGAGAAATTCCGCGAGGGAGTTCAGCAGGTTAAGGAATCCGCGAACACCGACGCTTATTTTAGAAGGAGAATGGCAGTGGAATAGTTTAGAACCAGAAAGATGGGAGGTCGAAAATTTAGATCCCATCCGATTGTTAAATAATATTTGTTGGGGATACGGGAGGATTCGACCTGCAGGGTGCGTGAATCCTACTCCTTTTGGAAATCTAACGGTAGCTGTTAATTCTACAATCTCAGTTCCCAATGCAGTACTGTTATCTTCCAATTAGTATTAAAAAATAAGATTTAATACATGAATCTTTAATCATCACGACGAAGACTCATATCGATGATGGAATAGAAACGTATTTTTTTAATTTGGTTTACACAAAATACATATGACAGTGTAAAATACAAAATATCGAATGATTGCCGATATTTTGATGTAGTATTAAGTAATTTTTAGATGTCCACAATTTTATTTTATAAATAAATATAGTTTTAATAATGTTATTGTTTATTAAATTTCTAAATGTTTTAAATCATTTCATTTGAATCCCTTTAGACATGAATTAATCCAATTTAAATATATTTATATTTAAATATCATTTAAGTATTATTATTATTATTTAGGTATTTACTTAAATAATAATTAATTGACATATACTGAATATTCATAGTAATAAAATGATCTCATTATATATAATATGCATTTTCGGCGTCCTTACGACGATTGTGTTTTGCAAAAAGGTACAATTATGTTGGTAGGATAAGGCTTGTATACCCTTGCAGTTTAACTTTAATTATATTTTCTTAAAAATAATTAAATTTGTTCTATAAAAAGGTTTAATTATTTATGAAACAAATATAATTTTTAAAACATCAAAAGGAGTAAATTTCAATTGGCTTATGTTTTTTTGTGTGTATAATATTATGCAATATCTTTGCCGATTGTGAATTGATTTTGATATTATTATTATATCAGTCGTTAACTGTCCACTGCTAAACATAGGCCTTCCTGATAAGGAAGAGTTTTGCCAGTAATTGCCACGCTTGGCAAGCAGGTTGGCAACCGCAGTCAGGCCTTTGGTGATGTTTTAAGAGGGACTCTGCTGCCTGTCTATTGACCTTAAGTTCCTTTAATCGCTTCTTACAACACCCACGGAATAGAAAGACGTGGCTTATTCTATGCCGTAACATACATGGTGATTTTAATCGCTTTTTTTGCAATATCTCAAAATTTATTTTAGTTAATTTTTTTTTCTTCTTCTATATTCTCTATAAATCAATGCACATTATGATTAGTAGATTGATAGGTTCTATATCTTTGTTAAAATATAAAACAATAACAATTAAAATACCCTCTCTCAAAACTCTGACTTTTATATTCAATTCTGTTATTATTCATATTTAAACGTAAATCGCAATGTGCAGCTAGTATTCAGATTCGCACAAAATAGAATAGAAATAATTTTCACATAAAAAGCAGTAACGGAAACCGCAGCGATTTCACTCGTAAATAATTGTTATATTCTCGTCATTTAACGATTATAAAATCATTCGAGTGAATTATCGTTGTAATTCGCATTATATTCGTATTAATTAACAGTGCCTTAACATTAACAACAAATAGGGATTTATTAACTGGTAATAAAAATCGATATAATGATTTCGCAGTTTCATCGATATTTAAATGATCGTTTTGGAATGTCCCGTTTTCAGGCCGTGTGGTTCCGGTACAGAATAAGTCACCCCTTCCTTTCCCCATGGGATGAGAGCATCTTAATAGATGACTAAAGGAACTTATGTTCGAGGAATAGGCAGCAGCGTCATCTTAAAACATAACCAAAACCCAAGGATTAGGGTTATTGTGATGTTTTGATGTAGTGATGAGTTAGCAACCGCAGCTAACTGTGGTTGCCAACTCGACTGCCAAGCGTGGTAAGAATCTTCGGCAGAGATTTAGGTATAAATAAAAATGATTGGATCTGGTAGTTGCCAGTAATAACTTATGGAACCGAAACATTATCCTATACGTTTACCCATATACAAAAGCTTCAATGCTATATTAAAGGCTATGCTCGGACTTTTTTTGCGTAATAGAATCCGAAATAAGGATACCCGCAAGAGAACTAAAGTAACAGACATAACCCAAAAAATAAGCTAACTAAATTGGTAATGGGCTGATCACATAGCTTAAAGAACTGATAACTGATAGGGAAAAAAGTTTTTAAGTGGTGGCCTTGTACGGGCAAACTGAGTATTGGATGACCCCTCATTAGATTGAACGACGACCTCAAATGCATTATAGAGAATCAGTGGATACAAGTGGCTTGAGACCGTTTCTTAATGCAGTCTATGGGGAAGTGGGGGGGGGGGTAGATAATGGCTGATATGTCGATGATGGTGGTGTACTTTCTTTTCATCTATTTTCAAACTTCTACTTCTCAGGCAGTTTTAAAGTTATCAAGTCTTTACATTTATAACTGAATTCAGTTCAACTTCGAACATAATTTAAATAATGCTTTTTAATTTTATTTAAAAGTCAGCTGCCGAGTTGCGGAAACAATAATATTATGCATTGAATTTAATATAGGTAAGGCAATTTAAATTTTATCCGAGAATTTTGTTGGAATAAAATTTATGGCGTAACTTTTTGAAATAGGATTTTTCTAAATCTGTGATAAAGAGATCTTGGTTTATAAAAACGCGTTTTATATACAGGATGAAATAGAACTCATTAGCATCCTATTAAGAGAGTGTTCTACGACTGAAAGTAAACATGTTTCCCAAAAAAAAGTGTCGTAAAACGAGGAAAAAAAATTGGGTCTCCCGTATTAACAGTTGACGACGCTGTGTTAGTGTGAAAGGTTAATATTATCATATTTTTTCATATTTTCTTTATTAGCCATGTAATAAATTTCATTACATTTTTGGCACGTCATATGTTACAATACAAATATAATATGAGTAAACAGACAATACTGTCATCAAATTTCTTATTTATTAACCAGGGGGTAAACAACTTATGACTCACCTGATGGTAAATGATTACCGCCGCTCATGATCACCCATAACACCAAATTTACCACATTTTTAAAGTAGATATATTCAAAATTGTTTGTCATTTTTCAAATTTATTATTTTATCTTTAAATTATAAGAACTTATTTATTTTATCATATCCAAAAATTTATTTCAACAGTAATCTAATTATTGGTTTTTTCTTTGTTTCAGGTACTTACTCGGGCCATAATATGCTCTGACTATTATATATGTCTATCTGTATGATTTTCGTAGTAAATATAAATATAAAGCGATATTAAGATACATTAGTATGAATAATAACCAGCATATGGTGGGTTTTTACTATTCTTCTATCACATTCGGAATCAATAAAACAAACTCTACAGTTTCGGAATTTTCCAATTATATTTGTGAGCCAAATGATTACTGCTGGATATAGTCTTTATATGTCAATGTCGACAACCATGTACTATTCTCTACAATTTTCCTAATGCCATTAGATTATGTAAGAGGACGGCACTACGCGCTCCAAAGATCTGTATGCGGTCTTCACTCCAAGATCTGTGTCCTTTACCTACCATTTCTGATTCGACATAAGGCCGGTCCTCTGCCTTTTCAGTTGATAGACTTTGAGAGCTATAGCAAACTTTAAACGTCAGCAATAAAAGTCAAGTTTAGATACTATTTACTTGTAATTGCGTCACGTTAAATCTTGATCGTAAATTATTTGAGAGATATTTTTGTATACAATTGAGAATGGCAAACAAGCTGACGGCCCACCTGATGGAAAGTGACAACCGTCGCTTGTAGACATGAGCAGTATCATGGACATAACAGAGTATACTGTTTCGCCCATGATACATGCGTTGCCAATCCCAAAGATTCAGGTGTTATTTCTCTGTACCCTCAAAAATATATATAAATATGTCAACCACTTTAATTCTCCATAGCATTGTCTCGTTCTATATCGTCTCTCTACTACCAATTGAAAACAATAGTTTTATAGATCAGCTTTTAGTTTATAATCAACACAACAGTTTTATAATTACGATAATACTATTTATTTATATCCTTCTTGTCCTTACTAATTTTATTAATGTGAGAGTTTGTTTGTTTTTTTCCTTCTTGGTACTTTTACAGCTTAACTGACCATTATAAAATTTTGTATATAAACACTATTTATATATGTAGAATGAAGAAAGACATAGACTATTTTTATCCCGCTCCGTGAATATATCTCAGTCACGCGTATTAAGTCATGGGTAAAATATAGTAACATCATTACAATGTTGTCAAAATAAAAATAAAAAATACATTGCGTGTAATTAAACACGATAATGATGATTTGTCTGTTCTGTTAACGTTAAATAAACTGAAAGAGTAACTAATAAATGGAATAATGATACAAATCTGAATAAACAAATTTAACGATCGTCAATCGAATGAGAATAAATAACACGGAATACAAAATATCGTTAATGGAAAGGAAAACAAATCACTCGTTTGATTATAGAGTAAATTTTCGGTAATATTAGTGGAAGCGAATCACGACAGTAATTTAGTAAAAAAATAACAATATATGGACTATAATCTGGACTGAATTATTAAGGGGGTAGTCAACGGCATTTATAGATTACTAGCTGTTCCCCGCAGCTTTACTCGCATCTATAAGTGTTTAAAGCATCCGTGTTCCGAATGTTATTCAAATTGGTTCAGCCATTAGAACGTGATCTTTCCAAACTCACATTTACATTAGTAATAGTTATTAATCCACATTTCGTGAGGTCATTTATTTATATAATATAGCAAGGAAAGAACCTAACGATGATACTTCAAGTAAATTAGTATGTTAATGGTATTCTTCATTAGCGAAAAGTTAATCTTAAATCTAAAATTTTAATTAAGTTTTTTTATACCATTCGAAATGGTAAACAATTAACGGGCCATCTGATGGAAACTGGTAACCATCGTCTATAGATATAAGTAATACCATGAAGATCATTTCACAGAATAACAATGTTTTTTGTTAATATAAAAACCATATGCCCATGATACCACTCATGCGCGGCCATTTTAATTTTTTTGCCAAAACTTTTAATTTTTTTACTGAAGATTTTTAATTCTAACTTTACTGCCATATTCCATCTTTTTAATTAACTTTAAATAAAAAGTAGGAGTGTCTCATTTCGGTGGTATATTTTTTTTATGTTTGTTTCATCTTCTCATAACTCCATCAGATATAAATAGATTTTGAAAATTCTTTTTTTATTTGAAAGGATATGC